TCTGACTTCTCCGTTTATTATCTGTTTATCGACGATCCGTTCCGGTTTATAAAGTTCTTCGAGAACTTCTGGTTCGTAGTTTGTTTTTGCGTTTTATGGTGCTTTTTCGAGTAATAAAATATAAAAAACTAGGTACATCCTTATACTTGAGGGTAGTGAAAGTTTGTAGTTGGTGTCTGAGATAGCTTCATCGATTTTAAATAGTCCAAGTTTTTTATGATCGAGCTTTAGTAAAGGTCGAGTTATTATGAAATTTTTGCGTAGTAGGTAGACTATGTCTCCCCTCCGAAAGATCGGTCCCTTCGATCTTTTCTTGTTATAGTATTTCGACATTCGTGTGCGTACGAAATCGAGTTGTTTTTTCATGTGTTTATATAGTGAGCGTAACTGGTCTGCTTTAAGCATTGCCTTTTCAGCAAGTGGTCCATCCCTTGGTGTTTTGCTGCCAAACTCGGGTTCGTATCCGTAGTTCGCGTAGAACGGTGAGATTTGTGTTGATTCCGTAGGTGCACTGTTGTAAGCGAGTTGGGCGAGTGGTAACTTCGAGACCTAATCGTCTTGTTCGTAGTTGATATAGCACCGTAGGTATTGTTCCAACGTTTGGTTAAGTCTCTCTGTTTATCTATCCGTCTGCGGGTAGTAAGCTGTGCTGAGCTTGTGCTTGGTTCCCAATTAAGCCATTAGGGCTTGCCAGAACTTAGAGGTAAATGTCGTTCCTCTATCCGAAATGATTTCTTCCGGAAGGCCGTGGTTGGCCACGATGTGTTTGAGTACGGTGTACGCGAGTGTTTCTGCGTCCGTTGCTTCTTAATATAGTAGGAAATATCCGAATTTGCTCATTCGGTCCGTGATGACGAATATACTGTCATATTCGACGTTGGATCCTGGTTCAATTGACTTGGGTAGTTTTGTGATATAATCGAAGGCTATTGATTCCCATGGTCTTGAAGGCACTGGTAGTGGCTTCAGTTCTCCGTATGGTTTGTGTCGAGCAGCCTTGCTACGTGCGTAATCTTCGCATTATCCGACGATACGTGCGACGTCCGCTTTAATCCCTTGGTAGTCGTACGTTCGTCGAATTCGTTCTAGAGTCTTTCTGACTCCTTGGTGTCCTGCCGTAGGGTGCGCGTGGATATCAGTTAAGATTTCACCACGTAGCGGCGGTGGTATCCAGAGTAGTCCGTTCCTGGTGGGTCCTTTTCCTATTTCTGTTGCACAATCGTTAGGTATTTCCTTCGTGTGCTTAGATACCCAATCCAGTATTTTGTCGTAGTGCGTGGTGTCTGCCTCAACTCTGTACGTGAGAAGGTTAAGTGACATTTGCACATAGTTTCCTTCCTCGTTTTTCTGAAGTATCTGGCCCTTGGCTTTTGGTACTTCGGTATCGTAGTCTGGTCGGCGACTGAGTGCGTCTGCTCTGCCGTTTTCCGATCCCTTCCGATGGATAATTTTAATATTATAGTCCGCTAGGAATTCCGTATAACGGATCTGCCGTTTGCTGAGCTCCTGTGTGGTGGCGAAGTAGGTGATGTTCTGGTGGTCGGTGTAGACTTTGGTCGTGAACTTGGTTCCTAACATATAGTGCTTGAATTCCTTTATGGCGGATATAATGGCCAAGAATTCCTTGTCGTATATGGGGTAGTTTAGTTCTACGCCGTGGAGTTTCTTCGAGAAGAAGGCGATTGGTCTTAGGTTATTGTTTTCATCGCGTTGGCTAATCTATGCTCCCATGGCGTAGTCTGATGCATCGGTCTCCAATTCGAGTGGTTTTTCTGGGTCGAAGGTTACGAGGACGGTGTTTGACAAGATAATGTCTCGTAGCTCCTCGAACGCTTATTTTTGTTTATTTTCCCATTCGAATGGTGTTTCTTTCTTCGTGAGTTTCGTTAGTGGTGCTGCGATTGTTGCAAAGTTACGTATGAAACGCCTGTAGTAATTCGCAAAACCCACGAACGCTTGTACTTCCTTGAGATTGTTTTTTAGTTTAGGCCAGTCCTTGACTACGCTGATCTTTATTTGCTCTATCAGGATTTCGTTTGGTCGAATAGTGTGTCCTAGGAAGATGGTTTCTTGTATATAAAACGCGCTCTTCTTTAGATCTACTAGGAGGTTCGCGTTTTGAAGTGTCTTCAGTACCCAATGGACGTGTTCCTTATGTTCCTCAAGGGTATCCGAGAAGATTAGGATGTCGTCTAAGTATGCCATAACGAAGATATCTAAGTTCTCCCTGAGTATATTGTTTATTATTCGCTAGAAGGTAGCTAGAGCATTGGTGAGGCCGAATGGCATCACCAAATACTCGAATAGACCGAGTTTTGTGCGGAAAGCAGTTTTCTATTCGTCTCCCTTTTTCATGCGGATTAGGTTATAGGCTCCTTTTAGGTCAAGAGCGGTGAACCAGTTCTTGCCGTGAAGTCTATCCTTGAGCTCGTTGATGAGCGGCAGGGGTGTCCGGTCTTTGATCGTAATGTCGTTAAGCTGCCGGTAGTCCACGACTAATCGTAGCTTGCTATTTTTCTTTGGTACGAATATGACAGGGTATCCTGCTTCCGAAGTGGATAGTCGAATGTAGCCCTTTTCGAGCATTTCGTCGATATATTCTCGCAACACTTTGAGTTATTCTCCATTGAGGTTGTAGAGTCTTTGGTGCTTGGTCGAAGTACCGGTTTTAAGACAGATTTCGTGATCCCATCGGCTGTGTAGTGGTAGCCCCGTTTCCAGGGTTTCCTTAAATAGTGAGTGGTATTTCCTGTACTCCTATGGTATATTTTTCAGCCGTTCTTCTTCCGTGATAGGTTTCGTTTTTCTTTCTTTCTGGAGGGCTTGATTTGCTTCGAATATCTTTTGTATGATATTAGCGATGATTCGTTTTCCTTGTTTATGTCGTATACCCGGTTGTAAGGCCTTCTCGGTCAATACTGTGGTCTTTGCCTGCTTCGACTCGCTTGTGTTCTTCTGTAAGGTTTCTCCAGAGGCTGAGTCGTCGCGAATATTCGCTTTGTTCTGGTTGAATAGTGATTGTCGCGTTATCGTGTCCATCCACGCTAACTGGCTATTGCGCCAATCGACTACCGGATTACTTCTCTATAACCATGGGTGACCTAGTATCATATCGTAATCATGTAAGTCCATAATATCGAAGACGATTATCTCATAGTGTCCTTGTATCGAGGCCTTAAGATGATCGGTCTTACGGTCGATAGTCCCACTATTATAATCGAAACTTCCTCCTTCGGCATTATAAAGCTTATATGTTACTTTCTTGTGATTCCATGGCAGCGTGCGTTGGTTAACCACTGCTAGTGAGATGTAGTTTCCCATCGATCCACTATCCAATAGTGCTCGCAATCGATGTCCGTTAATCCAGACTTCTAAAACCGTTTTCTGTCTTCCGCCTGTCTCCACGGAGTAGAGGGTCTTTGGGTTTCCTTCGTCGTCTTATGCCCTTTCTGCAGGCGACGTTAGTAGTTTTTTGACGGGTAGCATTCTGTGTCGATGTTATTATCCTTAGAGCCGTAGTTGCTGTGTGACTCTGATGGTGTGGAGGGTTCTTCGTCTTCCTCCTCGTACGGGTGGTGTGCACACCCGTAGCAGTAGACTCCGTAGTCTAGCGTGCATCCTTCGTAGTGTCTGTGTGCCACGCATTACGTGCATGCCTTTCCGTTCGGAACTTGGCATTCCCTTGCCTTTATTCTGTGGCGTAGGCGTAGTGTTTCCTTGGCCCTTTTATATCGTTCGCGGTCCGTTTCGCCTTTAAAGATATGGCTTCGGTCTGATTCCTCGATTAGATCGTACGGCAGTCGTATGCCTTCGTGGTATTCATCGTATCCCTCGCATGCGTGACCGTACTTTAGTGCGCACTCCCTTTTTATTAGGAATTCCTTCATAAGGTTTCCCTCTTTCTGGCGCCTTGCCTTCGCTATAATGGCTTCCTTTTTGGTGAGTTTGAGACCGAGTAGTGCCTTCGCTGCATTCTCGTGTCGTTGGAGTTCTTCCGTTTCCTTTTGTTCTCTGGTTCGGTGCTAATCGAATACCTTTTCCTTGATGTGCTTGGGACAGTCTATCGATAGATATTTGCTCTATGTCTTCTGGTTTCGTGCACATACTTCAGGGCACTTGGCCGATTGCCTTAGCACCACGCATCCCATGCTAGGTTCTATGTGCACGCATTCGTAGAATTCGGCTTTATCTTTTTCGTAGGGGTCGTCGATAGCTCGAATATCTATCCCTTTTGTCGGGTAGACCTGATATCTCCTTTTCTCGGTCATGTGGATTTTGCAGAAATGATATATACATGAGATCTATGATAATTCGCGATGTTTTTCCGTGTTAGGATTTATCCTTGGGTCGTCCCCTAATAGTATCTTTCGATCCTATTCCGGACTATTTTCTCCGAGTGTCGTTTGTGCGTAGATAACTATCCAGAGGTCCTCTCCTCGGGGCAGGGGATCGTACCGGTCGTTGGCGGCGAAGAGCCAGTCTTACGACGTAGCTCTCCCGTGTAGGAGATTTGTTTCGAGTATCCTTTTTTCCTGTAAGATTTCTTCTTCGCTGTCCATAGAGTCGGTATCTAACGACTCTTCGTCTAATTCTTGAGTTCGTCGCTATTGTTCGACGAGCTGCTTTATTTGTTGTTCTTCAGCGTCGCTGCTGAGCTCGTCTGGCTTATCCGGCGATTCGTCCATGACGTCCGGGTGTCTTACTAGTCCCGTAGTGACCTTACGCATCACGGCCAAAACGCGAGATTGATATAGTGCCCTGGGGAACCATCTTGAGTTTTCCTTGCCGTTTCGGTGAATCTGGTAGCTGTCGTCGTAACAGGCTGTCCAATGGAGTTCCTCATGCGTTGGCGTCCTAGTTGGTTTTCGTTGGATAGCGGAGAGGTAGTCCCTATACTCCCGTTCCCTGTCCTCGATGGCGTCGTGTCGCTCGTTCGTCGTGATTTCGTATCCGGCCCTAGTTATGTTTAGTTGCTTCGCCTTACCTTTAGGTACTGGCTTCTAGTCCTGCTTTCGTTCCTTCTTTTGGGAATGGTATTCGCGCGCAAAGTGTCCCTTCTTACCGTAACTATAGCAAGTGAGGTTCTTTTTCTCGATCGCCGCGAGTTTTCGTTGTATGGCGTCCAAGTCCATGGGTCCCGCATGAGTTCCTCCGTGAGCCGTACTTAGGTGGAACCGGGGTCTTCCTATGTTAGGGTAGATCTTGTTTTTGTTGCTGCGATCGCGGTTCGAGGAGTTGGTGAAGTATTGTCCCCTCTTCTGCTGTCGCCTTTCGAATTGTCGGTTGTCGATTTTAACTGCTATTGCAATATACGTGGCAAGGGCGGCAGGTCGGTCCTCCTTGTAGAGTTTATCCTTGACCTCGTCCTTGAGGCCCTTGTAATAGGCTGCTATTTTGTCTCCCTCGCTCTTCGTAGTTCTGGATGCTATTTGGACAAACAGAGCGCTGTAGTCCGACGCTGATCCTTTCTGTTTTAACGCTTCTAGCTGGTTCTCGGCTAGGCGTTCTTTATCAATGGTTCCGAAGGTCGCCTTTAATGCTTCCTTAAAGTTGTAGTAGTATGCGAAGATGTCCTTTGTATCTTGCTTCCGGTGCTGGTAAACGTGGGTTACGAAATCCCTAAGCGTGGGCTCGAACCACGCCAAGGCGGCTCCCGATAGACATCCCGCTGCATGGCGTACTTTGTCCTCTTCCGTCCTTAGGATGGAGGGAAAGTACTGTTGATAGGCTCTGACCTGAGTCAGGAACCCTTGAAGGTCCTTGGTCGTACTATCGAATGGTCCCGGTTGGCGTGGCTTCATAATCTCTCCTGGGTCCTTGCCGGTGATTTGGCGAATAGTGTTATTGCTTACGTTGTTTATTTCGTTTCTTAACTGCGCGTTCTGTTCCCGTTGTAAGGCCATTCCTTCGTCGAAGTTGCGATACGCCTCATCGTACTGCTCTTTGTCGCGAGTCTGCATGTCGGCGACTTGTTGTAGTTGTCCCCTGAGTTCCTGGATTTGGCCTCGGAGGATATCAGCCTCGTCTTCGGACTCGTCCGAGTTCATACCGATATCTTCCTCTGGTGGGGGTTGGATGGGTTCGGCGTGCTTGCCCTTGGTCTTGGAGGATTCGCCAGCCATGGTGTCGTATTGCTCAAGTACTTGACACGGTAGTATACTGAACAAGAGCTATCAATGTGTGACGTTCGGGTCTAGACTAGCTACCGGGTAGATAGAATAGAAGTCGGGTTATGAACTAGGTATACTAGGATGTCGTTGACTTAAGCGGTCGGGTTATAGTCTATGTGCGAGATAGTAGATCTTGCGTAGACAATTGTATTGATAGCTGAGGAGCTGGTAGAGACTGACTATGGTGAAGCTAGGCTTCCTATATACTGAATGAATGTTGTGTAGTCGACGATAGTCGACTGTCGTCTACGAGCGCCTGTCTGGTGTAGTCGACTGTAGTCGCTGGTCGTCTACAGTCGTCTACCATGCGTGGTGTGCGAGTGACGCATGATAGGCGGAAAAAGTGGGGGGCACGTGAGAGGCGCATGCGGTCGCATGTCGGGTCGTAACACGTAGTGTACAGTCTCTCTTTCAAAGACCTCTTTGAGCCAAGCTAGGCCTATATCGTTGTTGGTACATCTAGAGGGTGATGAGGTAACAAAGACTGAGTGCTTGTTTGGATGAATAGCCTCTACCTAGGCTGATTTTAGAGCTCCAGCGTTCGACTGGAAGATAATAGATAGAGAGAGAGGTGTACTATCTGAACAGATGCAGGGCAGGGTTGTAACCCACTCTCTAGAGCCATCCTGTAGGCTAGAGATAACTCCTCCTCTTTCATAATGCCTCTTACTAAAGATCCTTTTAGACCTTCCAAGGATCCTAAGTAAGAAGCCCTTTTCATCCATATTGAAGATGTGAGAGGGCTGTATATTGTACTCCTTCATCTTATTGTGTAACAGCTCAAAGTATAACCTATACTTAGTTGCTGAATCAGCTTTGTGATGCTTCTGGTCCATAGGCCTCTGCTAGCGAGAGATGAGATGAGAAGAGTTCCTGTGGAGGAAGCGAGAAACCCAGCTTTCTGAGACCTCTACCGAGTAGGGAGGACGCAAGTCTGCGTATTATTGTTCGGGAAGGAGGTGTACGCCTCTTAGTGAGGGATTCAATGTATTGTTCAAGCTCCTTTTCGTGTTGTGGGTGGATAGAGAGGTGGGCGAACGCGCGCGGCTGAGTTTTGCCTTGGTGTCTTCGAGCTCGCGAACGCTCATTAATGCTGTATTTTTTTTTTGCAACTTGGCGATACGTAAAAGGTGCGTCTGGTTCGCGGGATTCGATTGCTTCAATTGCTTCCTGAATCGGGTCTATATTGGTGGAGTTATGATGCGTTTTGTGTAGGTGGTTGGTGTTGGTGGGGGAGGCATTACGCGACTAGAGGCATTACGCGACTAGAGGCATTACGCGACTAGAGGCATTACGCGCACAGACAGGTTACGCGACCTGTTTCATTGCGCGCACAGACACATTATTGGCTTTAGTCGATAGGAACACGCAAAGTTGAATTTGTGTCAAAATTCAAACTACCTTAAATCCTGGCCCCGCAATAACAACTCTAGCTAACCAAATGATACAAGCCCCTAGAACCATTGCAGCCCCAGAAAACAATTGAAGGCCTAGAAAATTACCATCCATAGCAGTAAGAAGCTGGCCTCCAATAGGATTTCCAAAGAGCACTGCGATACCAACGCAGAAGTAAAGGACTCCGTTTCGCATGCCGATTTCTGTGATGTTAGATAATTGCGCAACAACAGAAGGACCCAGGGATACGTAAGCGCCTGAGGAAAAGCCGTACAACCCCGCATAGACAAAGACTGATAAACTACTCTTTGCAGGAATCCATAACGCTAGTGTTAAGATGCCCGAGAAGATGGTCGCAACGAAGATAACGTTTAAACGACCGAACTTGTCTGCTAGAATGCCTGGTAAGAATCGGCCAAAGATACTGTAAACTGAGTTAGCAACGTTAATCGAACAAAGATAGTAGTAACTGCTCACCTTGCGGCATTGAGGACAGGTATCAAGTACTGAGACAGGTCGACTGGTATGCCAGCTGCCTGGCCCTGAGTGATCAGGAAATTGATTGGAAGCCAGAGTCCGAGGGAGAATATCGTCATTCCTGTGAGCAAGATAACGAAGGAGACGTCTTTAAACTGGTCGATGTATTTCCGAGGCGAAAAGACCTTACGTGTGTGCACCAAGAGCGACTCGACGGTAGAGATGGCGACGATGTTGAGAATCAGCACGATAAGAGCGACAGCGCGCATCGTCCACGGAAAGCCGATCCTACCAACAAGCCTAGTCACCATGATCGGGAAAAAGACCCCACCGATTGAAGCCCCCGTTGCCGCGAGCCCGAACGCCGTAGCTCTTTTTTTCAAAAACCAGGTTGATATTGCGCCAGCAGACGCGTAGTAGATGCAACTCGCGCCAATAGAACTGCAGATGGCCTGCGCAAGAAAAATTTGGTAAAACTCGGTGCTCTGGGCTGTCATGAGGAGGCCGAAGACTTGCAGAAACGTGCCAGCGAGGAGGAGCCAGCGGGGCCCGTTGTCGTCGAAGAGTTTGCCGAAGATAATTCCACCTCCAAAAATAATTAAAATTTGAACCGAAGATATCCATGATATGGTTGAAGACGAGTATGATTGGAGAAAATGGTTTTGATAGTAGGCTTGGAAGACGCCCACCGAGTTTAGCCAGCCGAAAGAGGAGGTGAAGGCGCAGAAGGTTCCAAAGCAGACAAGCCAGGCGTGTAGACCGCCATCTGGCGGTCCTGAGGGTATCATAGTCTGTTCTATATCGGAGGACTTCTGTTGCTTGCCATTGTTCGATTGATAGTTTGCAGAAGCCGATGGTACAGGAGGCAAAATGGTATTCCTGGTAGGATTTTTGGAGAAGTGAGATGACGCAGATGACTGATCCGAACGTTCGACTGGCAACCTGTCCTGGAATGCATCTGGACCATGTATTGGCTCGGGATCCTGCCCGTGTTGGATATCCGGATTACTCATACCACCGATTTAATGGCACTGGGGACGCGTTTAAGTAAGATTTTGAGTGAACGAAGTGCTTCAAGTATGATGTTTGATGATTCCGCTAGAGCTAGAAAGTAACCTCAGCATGCGTTCAGGTATTAAAGCATTTGACTCCTTCTACCATTTGTCAGACAGGACCAAGTTCAACTGAAGATGCAAGGACGATTCACCGAACCAACTGCCACCTCCGACGCCCTAACCACATTGGGCATAGTGGCGGCCGCCGCTCGGATCTCATTGACTGTAGCGGCGGCCGCCGCGCTAATTCTCTTGATTAGGCTGACAAATTCGCTTGGCAGGCCCAGGCAATGAATGTGTAGGTTAGCAAGCCCACACAAGCTGTCATATTAAGCTAAACAAGCCACGAAACCTTCGCATACGACGGGATGTTGTGGCCTCCTTTTTTTTTTTCCCACTTTGCTAAATCAGAGATACATCTGGAATCATTAGGCAGGCTCATCCTCTCAAACGAAAGATACATCTAGAACTATCAGGCGTACTCATCCACTCCAACTCAGACATTCATCCGAAACCATCAGGCGTACTCATCCACCCCACTCAGTATTTATCGCCTCCTCGGGTAATAAAATGAACCCCGCTGAGCCATTCACAAGGCATCAAACGAGCTATGGTGACCTCTTTGGCCCTTTCGTATCGTACCGCCACCGCCCCTTCTGTTTCCCCTAATCCTGCTCTGACCACCACGTGGCGAGTTCCTAGGTTGAACGGCAGGCAGCCGTAGGACCTAGGTCAACTATACGTCATTGGTTTCAGCTCTAATCTAGCACGGGCTATGCTGACTCACGGGCACATCTAACAGAATTCGATGGTTGAGACCGAACGACAACTAAGTGATTGGAACTGGAGAGCATACTACTCGTAGTGACTCATCACTCAACCAAGGTAGCTATCGACAGCTGAACACTAACCCTAATACTATTATAGATAACAATTTCTTCTTCGTGGCGCAACCTAGCGGTACGCCACGGGAAGCCTTGTGGGTCTAATTTCTCTATAGCTGATATGAGCAGTATGAATCGTGGGAATATTGTCAGCACTTGAATGTATCAGCGATAGTGTTTGTTCAGCTGTGAAGACTGCGATGTTATAAATAAGACTTAGAGGTGAGTATTCCAGAGTTGTATCATACTGAACCACCCAGGTTTCTCTTACTACTCGCCGTTTCTAAACGTCTTTGCAATCATTCGTCACCATGGTTCTTTTCTCTAAGAATGTGGTAACTTTCACGATGATCCTGTCGGCCGGTAACGCCGTCGCGCAGACATCACAAATAACCCGAGATTTCCGTGGAAACCTCTCTCAGGAGGCAGAAATATACTTGCCTTCGGATGCCAATTGGCAGACCGAAACAATCCAACGATGGACGATATTCCAACCCTCAACCCCGGTTTACGTAGCAGCGATTAAACCCGCCACGGCAGAAGATGCGTCTTCTATTGTAAGTGCTTGTCTATTTTTGTCATTCTTGTTTGATGTGAAGACGACTAACCAGATCTAGGTGAAAATTGCTGCACAACGCAACATCTCGTATCTAGCTACAGGTGGAGGTCATGGACTCCCCATATCTCTTGGTCAACTCGATGACGGAATCTCTATCGATCTGAGTAACTTCAAAACTGTGACTATGGACACCAAGTCTCAGACGGTGACCGTTGGAGGGGGTGCTCTTTTCAGCGATGTCATCCCCACAGTTCTCAATGCGGGTTATGAGATCGGTATGTTAGTTCCGAATACACAGTTTGGAATCGCCAACTGAGACTTATAATAGTAACCGGGGTTTGTTCATGTGTAGGCATGACAGGCGCTACTGTTGGTGGGGGTGTCGCTCGCCTTCAGGGTCGGACCTGCACGGCCTCACTGCCGACACTGTGGTTTCCTACAAGGTTGTCACTGCGGCCGGAAAAATCATGACAGTCTCCGACTTCCAGAATGCAGATCTATTCTGGGCTATGCGAGTTGCCGGTCAAAACTTTGGAATCGTCCTCGAAACTACCTATAAGATTTTCAAAGTGACCAACGGCGGCAAGGCTTTGAATGTCGACCTTATCCTGCCTGCCAGCGCCAATGGTACGCACTGGGGACTTATCAAGAAGTTATCCATCAACATGCTCGACGAACTCTCCATGTTTACGGGTATCTAGTATAGCGATTAGTACGGTGGACTTAGTATTCTGTTCAACGCTGTCTATTATGGTCCCGAGAAGAAAGGGCGCCAACTCCTCGCGCCTATCATCGCCAACAACCCTCTCGTAACCAAGATCAGTTACATCAACGCTATTGATTTAATCCCTACCTCGTTGTTTGGACGCTTCAACGATCCGATGTGCAAGAAAAGTAACCACGTCAGCACCTACACGGTTGGCCTCAAGCAGATTGACATATCCACGTTCAACACCATGTTCCACGACATGGCAGATTTCTGGAAACAGTATCCCCAAACGACAGGTAGCACAATCTATTACCAAACTCTTCCGGTCCAGGCTGTGAAGGCCGTCCCGTCCGGCTTCAACTCGTACCCGACATCGCATCGCGAAATTGAAACGCATGTGTAAGTGTCTATGTCTCTAATTTACTGCACCCGAAATCAAAGACTTATTCTAACTCGCAACTGTAGACTTATGACGTACAACTACAACGATGCTAGTATCGACGCGATCGTGAGCGACTTTGCCGACAAGAACCGTCAGAACCTCGCCAAGACGAGCGGCTTCTCGGAGCTAGAGCTGTACACGACCTATGCTCATGGCGATGAGGGCGCTAAAATTTGGTATCGCGACAGTCTCCCTCGTCTTCAGGAACTGAAGAAGTATGATCTGGAGAATAGGTTCCGTTTCTTCAACCCCATTGTTGCCTAGATAGCGGCCTGTTGTTGCCTATTTTCCTCGGTCTTTTGTTTTTGTAGATTTTGTTTTCAATCGTTGAATTCACAGGCGCTTTATCCAATTTGTTATTTACATAGTTCTAGACGATCTAGCCAGAGGTAGGCATGTTACTCAGTCAGTTTAATATACACACATGTTCTGACGGTTTTACTCGGCCACTTATTGATTATTGAGAACTGGTTTCTATCTACTATCGATTCTGAGCCTGCCCATTATCACAGCTGTGTTCGGGCAGTAAACATTGAAGCAGGGTCTGCGTGATGAATTGCCGACTTCCCATAGGTGAAGTCAAAGCGACTAAATCTACCAGGACTTCCTCCAGATCATTGATTACAGATTTAGTTGCCGTCTAAATTAGATCAAGGGGGCGAGAAAAGGCCGTTCACAGTAAGATCCCAGAGGCAGTCTCGTTCTAGACTCCTGGGTGGAGTTGACCCAACAAAGAAGTCACCGAGAAGAAAGTCGCCGCTAGCGTGCACACGCCAATCATGTATGACAACAGGGGTACAGACGATATGATAACGAGTAGCCTCGCGCACTCGCTATTCAAACTGTTCTTTTGTTTCGAAAGTCCCCCTAGACACGATGTGGCCAAGCGACTTATTGACAGGCGTAGTTCTGTCCAGCCTGAATATGTCCGGTACGCATACCACTCCTCTGTCAGACTTTGGGAAGTAGTTGTGAAGACTAATCTGTACAAGAGCGAGTGCATGGATTTACAAGCCCCCCACCCGTCGTCGCTTCCGTCAACAATGGTGGCACTCCTCTCCGTGTGCTCGCTCTGGGAGATTCGATCACATTCGGCTACAACGATCCGACCGGCAACTCATACCGTCGCGATCTAGCCTACTTGCTGTGGACCGGTGGCAACCCAGTTAGCATGATTGGTTCGGTCAAAAATGGGAACTGGGACAACAACGAGAGCGACTCCTTCATCTACCATACCCTCGACGATATCTTAGATTCTGGTAGTCCCGAGCCTACTCGCGAAACCGAAAAACCCAATATCATCACAGTCCACGCTGGCACCGTCAATGTTGTACTGGACAAGAATGTAACTAATGCACCGGAACGGCTGGGGAACCTCGTTGATTTTGTCACAAGCAATAACCCATCGGCACTGCTGGTCGTGGCGCAGCTAATACCAAATACCAAGACAAATGTTAGCGCGTACATTGACTGGTACAACGAGGAGATTGTTTCTGTGGTGGTGAGGCGAGCAAGAGAAGGCAAAAAAGTAATTCTTACATCGATGCACGGTGTCACTACGAAGCATGTTCCCGACCATTCGCATCCTGGCCCGGCGGGTTCACGGGTGATGGCTCAGCGATTTTACGATGCTATTGTTGAGGGAAGTCGGAGAGGTCTTGTAAGGGCGACAGAGGGTTCATTCGAGGATCATGGTGCGTCTTCGGTATCACTGTCTGGTAAGTGCAATGGGTTGATAGGGGACAGGGAGGAGTGATCGGAGGGTGGGCTTCAAAACCAGCCTGTAGCCCTTATCTCAATCGCTAGTGTAGACTCATATCTTGTATGTCTAGATATCAACCTCTTCACGGTGCTGGGAAAACTCGTCCAGAGACGTGCGAAGACGTTCTTCAGCGGACTGCAACAAGCCATCCTTTTCCCATTCGGTCTTTCTGTATACATGTTTGAGCGTCGCTCGAATCAGATATGGAAAACTCGGAGCTGTGCACAATGTGGTGCACACTTTATGCATCTCGACGATATCGAGAACGATGTTAATAGCGGTGTTCAGAGCAGCGTGCGACTTGCAACAGTCCTGCTGACGTTGGCGCCTTTCGATAGCAAGACCTGCTTGCAGGTCAAGTATGCGCCAGTGAAGAGCAAACAGCGCTCTGTCCATTTTCTTAGTACATTCAAACCGCGTGGCAGAGCACGGTATGGCGTTAACAATACACTGACCTGATGGTGATTGCTATCGCCTCGCAGAACTTTTCTTGTCCAGCACTGCACTGTTGCATAAGCGCTACGAGAAAGGATTGTAGTGTAGCATCCAAGCCGTGGAGCTGAAACAGCTGGCTACTGGCATCTGAAATATCCAAGGCTTTCGTAACTTGGTCGAGAAGCCACGCTGCTTGAGCAGCACGACCAAAACTCTCAATACCAACAGAGGTCAGATAGGAGACGGGTATGTGGGGAACAATCTCGGCGTCAAGGAAGTCATCCCGTTCCAGTAAGCTAAGATCAATGGGGAGACGAGCAGTTTCACTTGCAATGGATGCCACCAGCGGTTGGCCAGTGACAGTGATGTCAGAGTAGAAAATCCTGCGCAGGATCAATCTTCGTAAGCGGCTGTAAAGAGAACAAGAGCTTACCGTTCAGAAATGAAGATGCCCCACCACGTGTTGGCTGCTTCTTGGACTTGAAGCCTGTAGGCCAGAGCGGTACAAGCCGCATCTATGGGGCGCCAAGGCGGCTGTGGCGACTGCTGGTTGCATACGTGGATGCGGGCTGCGTAAGCCATGCGGGCACAGCCGGAAATGGAGGCGAATGCCTTATCTGGACGACCGCTGATATATTCGTAGACTGCCAGCAACAAACCAGCCTGTAGCAGGTAGAGAGACGGTGGACACTGTGCCTGGACCTGCACGAACAAGGTCATGGCAGTGAGATGGAGCGAATCATAATCGACCTGCGAGGGGTTTCGCGAGCTGGCATGAGCGCGTCGCTCCAGCGTTGGGCAGGAATGAGTCAGACACATGGCTAGGAGAAGGACGGAGAACCCGGCCGACGGGACGGCACCCGGGCCGATAAGATCGTGCTGAAAGCGTGACCGGGAGATGGTTGGGAGATAGCGATGGATGCCCTTGAAATAGCGAGAGCTGACATCGTCGACGAATAGGCCCGCAGCGCGGATGGAGCGCTGGACCAGGACGTGGAGATTTATCTCCGACACCGCAGGATTGCCTGCTGGAACCGTGAAGTAGTGCAGCGGGCGCGTAGATAGGAGACCAGCCGCAACGGGAAGGTCTGGACCTCGTACGGCGAGGGGAGTGGGGGTTGGAGCGTTATGGTATCCGCACCTCAGGCCCTTCCTGCTCGTGTCAGATGAGGCCAGGTGGATAAGTGCAGACGATAGCGAGATGTCTCACTGAACACAGAAGCTGCAGCGTGGAAATGCTTTGTTGCACTTCTTCTTGCGGGCCTTGCAGGCGGCGCATACCTGGGCAGCGCGGGACTGGTGGGCAGGACGGGCATGGGAGTTGTCGGCACTGGAGCTGCGCGCGGAGGGGACTGAATCAAAGGACGATATGGCTGCCATATTCGCAGCGTTTGCCATCCACAACTTGTTGGTGATGCACTAAGGGCAGATCAAACAGGTGGAAAAGGGATGATCAATTCAAACGTCCTTGGGCAGCCAGTCGGTCAGCCTAAATAGCGGCTGCTCCTCGGATCGTGTGCGCGCAGCCTGATTGGCTGCGGCGTTATCAATGCTATCTTATCGCTATCGTACCTATACGTGTACGTGACCAGCACGTGACACCCACACACAGCGCAGATACATCTTGGTTGAATGGCCACACAACCTCCAAAGTGTATCAAATAGCTGCTCTCTCTCTCATCGCTGTAATCACAAGATCTAGGTGCCACGGGTGGATACCCGTTTTCTTGAAGGCTGAGAGGATCGTAGACCTCTTAAAGGCTTGTTGCCGTACACTCTCGATCATACCTAGGAACTCCAGCTTCGTGATATTCACTACCCCGTCTCGCACGAGGATATCAAGGGCTTTAGCGTGGTAGTGCTTCAAGGGCTAGGAGACCAAAAAATCCAGAGGCTGGAGAAGGTATGTAAGTTACGGAGGCATCGAGAACGGCACGATTTTATGCTATTTATAGTAGCTAATAAACTCCTTCGTGTGGTGTGACCCGTGCCTATCTAGGATTAAGAGGCGGTATCCGGATAAGGAGGCGGCGTGCTAGTTAAAGTGTTTAATCCACGAGAGGGCGATTTGCTCGTTTAAATAGCCCAATAAAGAGAGTGTGATCTTCGTAGCTAGATAGAGTTCCTTTACTCGGTACCACTGATCTATACGAACCTTACTAGAGAGGATCAGGAAGGTAGGGATAACTTGGCCGCCGGCGGAGATAGCCTCAATCGTGTTACGGTTCTACTAGTTGCTGGCGGCTGGGTACAAGACCTAGCCTAGTTCACCCAGGCACGTGACGCGTGCCCACGAGGACGCACAGACCTCGCAGGGTCTTCACAGGAAAGGGGGACCGTAAATTCCCTCTTTTTTCTATTTTCCTACCTTATCGTTAGATAGACTCAATCTAAGCTACCAAGTTGTTCCAACAGGGCTTAGCCCACAACAAATCGCATTAGCTGATTCCCTGTTTTCTGGCATCGAGAAGAGATGCTCTCTCTTTCGCTTCGTCACGATAAACTAGTTCTTGCCTATGCCTATACGAAAGCCCGTCTCGTCTATATTCCAGATGTTATTAGGAGGGATACTGTACTCCGTTATCGTGGCCTAAAGGCGTTAAAAATACTCCTCCGTACGATCCTTATCTTCCGAAGCCTTACGCTTAGTATTAAACTTCCTTTGGAGGACTTTAGTATAGCCGTGGCGCTTAATAAAGCGCGTAGCCTAAAGCTGGCTAACTGCCTCGGAGTTATCGCCGCCTAGCCTCTCGCGAAGAAGCGCGTTTATAGCGTCAGAGATAAACTCAACACGCACAACAAAGTTGATCTTATTAAGGCGATCAACGTACGGGCAGATCGCAATTTCTTCCTCGTTCGTAAGCTTCGTATTCGTGGTAGGGCGCCCTTTCTTCGGACCGGCACCCTCTAAACGACGGCGTAGTCGGCTTCGTGGGCAGCCGAATTTCTTCGCAACGGTGGCAATTGGGGTATTCGGGTCTTTTCGTAGGTAATCGAGGGTATCGTTTACGCGTATTTCAGCTTCAGAAAGAGCCGTAGAAACGTGTGGTGTTGGCATTATCGCGAGATTGATACGTTGCTACGAATGAGTGGCCGGTGTGGTGATGAGCACCACCTTATTGGAGGTGGGGCGTGGCACGAGTATAGTCTATGTGCGAGATAGTATATCTTACGTAGATAATTGTATTAATAGCTGAGGAGATAGTAGGGACTGACTATGGTGAAGCTAGGCTTCCTATATAGTAAGGTGATTACTGTCTTGGATAATGATCTGTTCTGCTTGTTCGCAGTGATTCGTGATGATCGCAATAATCGCGGGCGCGATTACTCGTGTGAGTGGTGATCGTGCTGTGAGTGGGTAGAAAGAGTGGGGTGTGCTCAGAAACACGTGAATGCCGCATACTGGGTCGTAACACTTATGCAAGCTCCTGCGTATTATTCTCCCTTCGCTCATTCGGCCGCGCCGGCGCCTCATAAAACACACCCGGCTGCTCCGTCGTCCCCTGCTGATCCTTTGGCGCCGCATTCCAGTACGTCGGCGGACTTTGGCCACTCATGATATTGATCCTGGGGTCCGTTATCGTTGGGCTCCCGGACACGGTCATGTACTCGGTCGGGGACTGGGGGCTTCCAGCACCCATGTAGGATTGCTGGACTTGAGGACCCTGTGTCTTTGGGTATTCTTGCGGATACATGGGTGGTACTGTCTGCATCGGGGGGTACTGGTTTTGCTGTTGCTGTTGCTGCTGCTGCTCCCCTTGCTTCCGCGTTCGGCGACGACGCATGTAGCAGAAGAGTGCCAGTGCACCTATTGCAATGGCCGCAACACCGCCAACGACGCCACCAGCAATGGCCCCAACGGGCACATCATCATCGTTGGGTCCTGGTTTCGGCTTGGGGTTGCGCGTCGTTTCAGTCGGAGTGTCGCTCTCGGATCCTGGATCTAGAATGTCTGTCACGATTCGGGTCGTGGTAGTTCCGTCACGTAGATAAAACGCAGTGAACTCCCTTTCCCCTTGTCCGTCGTAGGTGATGAATGCCTTCTGATCGGTGGAGGTGTTCGTCTGGCCACAGACATAATCCAGGATGTCGGAGTAGATTGACACAGTCTGACAGAATGGGAACTCGAGGTCACTGCGAGTAAGGGTCAGTAAGGCAGCACTGCCTTTCTAAGGCTAAGAAAATACGTACCAGTACATCGCATATCTGTCTGAGCTAGTTGTGGTCATGGCTAACCGCTCTTCCAAGTCGTAGCAAGTCGTCGCAACTCCGCAGTCGTTGCCCTCATCATCACAGCACATGGCCCTTCCATTGCCCAGAGCCGAGGCAGTCTGAAACACGCAGTGACGTGTTGACTGAGCGCACGAGTACAAATCGGTAGAGTCGGCATTAATATACGCACAAACGTTATCGGCAGCAACATATCGAGTCTCGCCATCTACCAGGTCTCGACGGCGAAGCTCGGGAGCTTTTGGACCAGTTGTCGGCTGTGGACTAATTCCAAGGTCGTCATAGTGGACGGCAAGGTCGGTGGCAATGGGCAGGTTTGGCTTGATCAAAGCTTTGGCCTTGGATGCTAAGGCCAAGATGCTGATAGTTGTGCTTCCGGATCTCATCTTGCGGTAGTTAACGATGCTCAGGACATGAAGAGCTCCTGGACGAAAACAGGTGTAAGTCAGGTAGGTGCTTTTGGGCACTACACACTATTATACAAAAGGCGCCTGGGGCTCAATCTGGGATTACAGAGCGCGATATTAGTACATGCCAGAGTCCAGAAGCCCCGTGACTGGTATCCAGCCTGATCAAGCCAGCCACGTTCACAGCTCTCTGTCTTAGAGGCGGCTGGCTTGCTCTTCTCACACAGGTCGAGGCTCGACTAAGTCGGGAGCAAAATGGCCACATTGCGTCTTGGCCCTGCAGATGCCTCAATCCGAGGCGCGGTTTATCGCTATGCATTGTCTTCTTCATTGGTAGGATACACCTTAGCTCGGAGAGCTGAAAGCGAAGACGGTGCTGGCCCGGCTACGCGACCAAGCCACCGCATGATGTGGTGCAAGGTATACCCTGCTCGTCTTCCTGGATGCACAGCAGACTCAACGTGGTCAACTCGATCTTGCCTTGCGAGACAAGATGATCCATGAAATTCACAACGTGTGAAGACACATGTCATTATCGCCCTCCTTCACAATTCAAGCACCTAACAATATAATGAAGCACTTGACAACTGGAAGACGAGAAAGAGGGATAGCGGCAGGCGAGGCTGGCTCAGGATGTGACATGCATGCTAAGCAAAAAAAGCGCCACGCCGCTGATCAGCCGCAGTATTACTCAGAAACGGACTAGAGTTCATTGCTAATGTCGCAGTTTCTGCCCCCCTTCACTCGACGTTCAAACGGCTATTTAGGTGGCTACCTCTTTAGGGTTCTTTATTAATAAGTTCTATATCTAGACGAGGCCATGTAATATATACATATGGGTTCTGCACCGCACGGCGCCCTTGTCCCGGGTGTAGTTAATATATGTAGCAAATTCTTCGCAGAGAAAGTCATACCTTAAGAGAGTTATAGTTACTCCCGCCGTTTACCCGCGCTTGGTCGAATGGCTTCGCTTTAATATTTAGAGCACTAGGCAGAAATCATATTACATTAACACCACTTCTTGACTATCGTAATTCTATGTTTTAATTAGATAGTTAGATTCCCCCTGTCCGCCCTAGTTCTAAGTTATTCGTTAACCGTGCGCCGGACGGCCGAAGCCTGCCAAGGACATCAGCACCTAGATGCTTCAGGTCACGTGTAGATAGCATAGATAAGTGGTTGCAGCCAACTAGGCTGCGCCTATTCGATCCGAAGAGCAGCCGCGCGATGGCCGACCGAGCGCCTGCAGTAGGACGGACGTTTGACTTGATCATCCTTCCTTCCACCTCCATCAGCTTGGGCCCAAAGATCCTAGTGACGGCGGCAATGCCACCTGTGGTGGTCTTGACCTTGCCTCCTCGCCAGGTGAGAAGGACCTTTATCACATCCTTCCCGCTCTCCCAGTTCCCCGCCGTGACTCTGACGATACCCTCTGTTATCATAATTTGATCTCCCTTCCTATTAAGGGCCTCTACCATGCCCGCGAAGATAATACCTATCATAAAGCCCGTCTCGTCGAAGTTATAGATATCGTCATCTAGAACCCCGTGCTTAGCCTATATATTCCATACAAGGTTAAACCAGCCCTTAATAAGTCCAGGATCCTCGCATTTAGCCCGTTAGTGATTATATTTACGAACCCAGCGCGTGCGAAGTTCTTAGTAGCGTTTAATGAAGTTAGAAGCCTAATGCTTGCCGACAGGTGGCGCGTCGCGTACGCGTAGTAGTTGATTGGCCATATCCTCAACACCAGATAGTCGAGGAGGAAATGATCGCGATGAGGCTAATATTACCCTGGATTCTTTTGCAAGTTCATCCATTGTTTAATCGTGGTGATAATTGGCGAGGAAAGTCAATGTACGCGATGGGTGGTGAAGATAGCCCGCTCGCTTGGGTGGTCCGCTCGCTTGGGTGGTCCGCTCGCATGTGGATTAGGATGTCGTTGACCAAAGCGGTCGCACGAGGTGTTGTGGGCTAGGCCCTATTAGAACAACTTGTTAACTCAGATTGAGTCTATCTAACGATAAGGTGGAAAAAGGAAAAGAATAAGGAAATTGCTAGCCCTTTCCTATGAATACGCTGGGAGGCCCGTGCGTCCTTGTGACGGTTGGGTCAAACCAACTACAGGGTAGGTAGATCTGAGGTCGGTTTATGAACTGAGTACACTAGGATGTCGTCGACTTGAGCGGTCGTGTCACAGTCTATGTGCGAGATGGTAAATCTTGCGTAGACAATTGTATTGATAGCTGAGGAGCTGAGTAGAGACTGACTATAGTGAAGCGTAGCTTCCTATATACTAAGGGGATCATTGCGCGAAGCAGATGATACTCGTGAGATGATCCGGATCATGGCGACACGTAGATGATCCAGTGTTATTGGTGGAAATTGGTGGGATATGCGTTTTGTCACGTGCGGGCCGCATGTCGGGTCGTAACAGTCCTTGAGGGCTCACACCACGTTTTTAGGTGGTCCGGGCTGGGTCTCGTACCTAGCCGCAACCAAACTAGTAGAACTATAACACGAGGGCTCGGATTAGGATCTAATATAGTCGCGATAAGATCCGGAAAGAAAGGAAGAATATATATAGGACCGGGGGCGAGTAATCGGGATCCAGCGCGGATATATCAAGATCTAGAGCGGGGGCTTAGATCGCGACCTAAATTAGGGAGGCGTCGTCGGGATCTAGTATCGAGGTGTCACGGTTCCACCAGTAGCTTGCGGCTAGGTACGAGACCCAGCCCGGACCACCTAAGCACGTGACACGAGCCCGAGAAGACGCACGGGCTTCGTAGCGTATTCATAGGAAAGGGGCTAATAATTTCCTTATTCTTTCCCTTTTCCTACCTTATCGTTAGTTAGACTCAATCTGAGCTACTAAGTTGTTCTAACAGGGCTTAGCCCATATGAGAGGTGGGGTGTGACCGGCCTTAACGACGGCGCTTAGGCCTCCGATCAACCCCACTTGGGTCGCGTAGATCAGGCTCGTCGCTAAGTGCGCTAGATATCGATATCCCTTTAAAAACTGTGAACATCAAACTCACCCCCGCCGCCAGCCTATCTGTGTATTCTGCTTTCAATCTTCAAAAAGGGTGGACCTATTGAGCACCACTACTTTAATGCTAGAAATTACCATAGCTACCGTTGAAACGACCAAATCCCTGCGTAGCACTATTTATCGAATCAAAGGCCGCCACAAGATTGTATAGAGGTTACAGGAGGAGCTTGCAGACCTTATCAGTATTTTAGAGACGCTATAGGCAGCCGAATACCTCGAACCCTTGATACTACCTCTCCTAAGAAGTCCTATTAGTCGATGTAGCGAACTATGCCATGATTTCGAGATCGCTATAGAAGGGTTTCACGGGAAATCACTAAAGATAAGCTTCCGAACCTGGGTTAAGACGCGTTTCATAACAGACGATATCAATCAGTTCATAGAGGTCCTAGGCGTATATGAAACAACCTTATCGGTGGCTTTGGCCACTATAACTATACTAGTACCCTATTCCGCCGTTTCTGTTCTTTACTGACACTCCTAACCCATCCTCTTAGGCACAATTCTACTCTCTCTCAGCAGACCCTAGAGGAGTGTAGTAAGATAATCAAGGATATTTCGCATAGTCTTGAAGTTTACTTATAACGAATTAATAAGAAGTTAGCGATATTATCTAAGGGGAGCGCCGAAACATTAGGGATAAGAATAGATATAGAGGACAAGAGAACGATAACGACGCAGCGCCTTTAAATTGGTGAAGTTTCGAGGTCTGAATTCGTGTCACAGCTGGTCAAGAGCGGGGACCCACCCTGCACCTGGCAGTCACGTGAACTCGCGCCTGCCTTTGCATTTTGTCGCGATCCCGACCGTCTTCTGTTGTAGCTCTTCGAGCTACGTCTTGTACATAGAGCCTGCCCTACCTGAGGAGTGCCTATCCGTAGCAATAGACCAGATCAGCCTGACCGAGTGTTCCCCGTCCTACCTGCCGACCGACCCCCCCTGACAATTCGAGTCCTTGATAGATCGAGAACCTTCTCCCTAACCACAGGCGACTCCATATCCTACTAAAAACGCTCAGAATTAGTTCGAGGTATATGATTTGACTAGTAACGCGTTAAGTGGCAGCCGAAACGACTCCGTAGAGATTATCAACCGCTTGCAGGAGCGTCTTTATATACTGACCTCGGATATAGCTCCTAAAAATAATAAGGGAAGGTTATAGTTCTAGGAAGATATTAAAACCATAAAATAGTGTCTAGAGGTATGTAAAAAAGCTTCTAACGAAATCTCCTATATTAGTACCGACGTAGTTACGGATGTAAGTAGCGATAAAATTATAGTCACCGCTAAAGTAAATATATTCAAAGCCAAAAGAGCGATCCCTAGCGGGGGGGCGAGGGCGATTGGTGGTCAGATTGTTGGTTATATGTCGGATAAGATGCTTTAGAAGATATTAAAGGGTGGAGATTCTGGCATACTTATGAGCATGAAGGACGATAGAATAGACACCAGGGCCCCGTCACTACCTCCTAAGGCTTATCCCGAATCCTTAGTAGATCGAGAACCTTACCTTCTGCCCTAGTCGATCCCCGACTCTAACATAGATACTCCGATTTAGTTCGATATACGGGCATTATCGTTTAATATCCTAGATAACCACGGACACGTCTTCGCCGAGACCGTTAGCCGTTCAACGGAGCGCCTCGATACACTCACTTTGAATGACATAACGAGCGGCGACGATGAGACATCACCGTTACACAGAGACTTGGAAACCTCGAGATAGGCTATAGAAGCCTTTGCTTAGGTGAACCGGGCTGGGTCTTATACCTAGCCGCTAGTAACTGGTAGAACCGTAACAACCACGAAGGACTTATATTACTTAAGTACTAGTAAAACGTCTTACTACGTATACTTAGTCTTTAATATAATCGCCTAGTCTAGAGGAAGACAAAGAGCGACACTGCTAGCCACGCCGCGTCTAGAACTGGCGTGCGCCCGCCATTAACCCCGTCGTCTATTTCGTCGGTGCCGCCACCTCCTTCGACGTCGCTGCCATTACCTCCATCGACGTCGCCGCCATCACCTCCATCGACGCCGCCGCCGTCACCTACACTGCCGTCGTCTCCTCCGCTGCCGTCGTCACCATCGATGTCGTCGCCCACCGAACAGAGCCCGTCCCCCATGCACGTCTCGCCAGCGTCGCAGTAGTATCCGGAGCAGCACGAGGCGCCCGCCGGCATGCAGCCATTGCCGCATTCCTCCAGGCTATCGGAGCAGCCGTCCGGGACGCCAGTGCAGGTTTCTCCTACAGGGCAGCAGCCGCCGTTGCCGCATACCGTGCTTATCGCACACCAGTTCCCGTTATTATCGCAGCATCGGCCACCCAAGGGGATGCAGCCGTCACCACACTCCTTTTCAGAGATACCGTAGGTATCCCCAGCTTGACGGTCGTGCAGCTGCGGAGCGTGGCGGACGAGGCGGGACCCGCCGACGTGCAGAAGCTGGGGGATCCCCGAGAGGTCCATGAGCCCGTGGGCGATCCTTTGGGCCGCGAAGGGACCCATGGCCGCGGCTAGGTGGAGGAAGGCTGCCACAAGGCAGGTGCTGATTTGGTACTTCACAATCGTATCGGTGGTCAGGTCTCGTCTGTCTTAAGAGGGGCTGAGAGGTAATTGCAAGTAGAGAAAGGATAGCTTAACTAATCAACTATTCTAAACATTTTAGAGGGGGGCGCGGCGATAAATAAATAGAGTCGAGGAGGACGCCGTTTTCCTAGTGCCTGGGGCTGTTCAATCTAACAGACCAGGGTATCGAGTCAGCGACAAGGATGGCGCCTCAGCTCATGCAGGCTAGGACGATCATTATCTAGTGGGGAGGCGGTGCGGCTTCGCCTTAGTGCGGCTAGCGATACCTAGAACATTTTAAGGTAAGACATGCCTAGTTAAGAACTACTAGCTATCTAGTCCGTATTTCCTCAAGATTCGTCATACCTAAAATCGACGTCACGATCGTCCCCGGATATGAAGGCATCGCTAGAGGCCGGCGTAATACTAGACCGCGCTGCTAAGGAGTAAGTCCCAAAATATATACGGTGATGCTATAGACCCCGGTTTCTCCGCGGACTCGTAGGGCTGGCGGTCTTCAGCCGTTAGAGCTAAAGAAGGGCTTGGCTAGCCGTCTCTCAGCTATTCAGCCTTTCACGAGGTGCTGCATGAGGGGCTGTGGCTGTCATGCTTCGGATTGGTCGGTTAACAATAACGACTCACTAGTGGGCGTCTTCCACATTCGCGAGCAGGGCCTAATAATAAGCATAACTATTAATTCTCTTCTAGACAAAGCCGTCCTGTACCTGTTCTAACCGTATACATGCTAATAGGGTCCTCTAGCACCGCTATATCCTCGTGACTAGTAACCTCGTATAGATGTCACTGACCGTGGCTAACTCCGCACTGCCAGCGCCTCTTGAGCTTCTTGCGCTTCAAAGATCGGCTGCGCAATTGTTGCTGACAGTTGGCCCGGCACGAAATTTGTCCAATCGCCAACAGAAGCGGACTACCTGGCGGGGTGTCTGGGCTCAAGAGTGATTTTCGGTGAGGTTCGTGGGATGAGGACCAGACGTGTGCTAAGTGCTACCACGGTGCACAAATAAAATCACCTTCCTGCACTCTTTCCGCTCTCAACTCTCCTAATCACATCGTACTTCTATCAATTCGTCGGCCAAGGCTGTTTTTAAATTTCTTTCAGTGGGTCGTTCTTTGGAGCGACGAAAAGTGCACTATATAGGTAATTTGACAGGATAACCTTCGCTTGGGGTGATTAGGACGCATACACGTCGGGACAATGGTACGAATAGGGTAGTCATTTCTAGGTCGATGCCTGGTCCGCAGCAGGTACGGATACAGCACTCTATCATATCTCGCAAGCCTATATTAATAACCTCATCGACTCTTAGCGGAGGCTCCGTGAATATATCCGCGCAAGGGAATATTACACACACTACCAAACTCCAAGATATTCCATCTTCAGCGGTACTATTAGCTTCAGATTTGATTTATTTTTGCTATTATAATGATGTCTTGAAGTTGGAGGGTGTGCCACTCAATCTAGGTGGGCAGGGCTCGCGTTCGCAGACTTTTGAGACCCTATTTTACTTTCTAGAAAAGGATTAGACACCTCGCAGCAAGTACGCAGCGCATAGATTAAGAACTGACAGCGGCGGCCTCCTTCTTGGCCTCGGCGGCCTTAGCCTTAACGTCGGCATCGTTAATCAGCTACGCAAAAGGGGTTAGCGGCGAGACCGTAACGCGAACACATTTAATACGCAGAAAGAGACTCACGGTGGTACCCTCGGCGGCGTCCTTAGCGTGGGGAGAGTCGGTTAACTGAGATTTCGTGTCAGAGAGTGCGAGCACGTAACGCCCTCGCTACGCGAGAACGTTAGGGTCTTAGACTCACGTTATTATTGTTACTACTATTAGTAGCGGCGGGGGCGCAGATGCGTAGATAGTATATCTACCACCACCGTGTCAGCGCTACGAGCGCGCGGTATACGCGATACGCGTTATATAGTAGGGGTAATACTTACGTATTGCTATTATTACTATGGCGGCGGCGATAGTACAGGGAATATCAAACTATTACGTATTAGCGGCGAATTCGTAATAACGAGGTATTAGGCTATATACTTATTCGAAAGGTTAAGGAAGAAGAAAAGAAAAAGAATAAGATTAGCGATATAACGAAGATTTAATAATATTAGCGAATTAATCTACCGGGCGGTTAGAACGTTATAATAAGATAGGTTAAAGGGAAGTTAATTATACGGTTAAAGTCGATTAAAGATTAGACAAAACCACCGAATACCAGCCTCGCCGCATGGACCTAGCATAGTCGCTATGAATACGCTGCGCATGCGTGGATGCCGAGGACGGCATACGTGGAGAGGGGCGTTCTGTCAGACATATTGCAGTCTACCGACAACCTGACACCCCCCCCGACGGTATTCTGTCACCCGACAGTTGGGCAAATAGAAGCCTGTCACCTGTTAGTACTAGAATAATTTATATCAGGTGATAGGCTAACTAATAGTCTGTCACCCATAAGCTACCCCTATATAAGCTATTATTAAGGAGACGTCCGAGTCACGTGCTAAAGAGGGGTATAAATTAGTTCTAAACTAGTTCTACGAAAAGTTTCTATAGAATCTGTTTAGATTTAATTCTAAATTAAATATTAATAATACCTTCTTATCGAGAATCCGTAGGCTACTAAGTATATATTAATCAGACGGTACTACCGTCTCCTCCTATATATAATATAATTAATAGTAAAGTCTTTCTTTCCTTAGGGGAGGTTTTTTACTAATTCCGCGACGAAAATAGCTAACGATATCTCTAAACAGGAGTATTTAGTTCGATAATAAACCTTTATTACTATCTTCGACGCTATAGGCTATTAATATATAGAAAAAGCGGTGTTCCGAGTCTCTAAGCTTAAGCAAAAGTATAATATTAATATCGTTAATTTACGATAAGTTCGGAAATTAGTATAGGAAGAAAAAGCAAAAGGATAATAAAACTAGGATATATTATATCTATCCGATCTAGTCGATCTCAGGGAACCTCTAAGAAACGCCTTTATTAGGAAGGATACGACCGAGGAATCCTAATTAATAAGGCCCGAGCTACCCGTGCGTCCGAATTTAATTCTAATTCCGAATTAGTTCGAAATATATCTAGAACTAGTCGATATTAATTCCCACGATTCGCTACGTTCCTTATACTCATAAAGGTCGCTTAATATTATAATAAGCGTCTCTAAATCTCTTCCCTTACCGCCTCGTTTTAAGAATCAGAAATTAGATACTAAGTAAATAAAATAAATAGCGGGTATTAAATTAAAGAGATATAAAGTATACGTAACTAGAAACCGACCTTATCTAATAACGATAAAATATAGCGTAGATTATACGATCTAGAAATTATTTTAAAATCCTTAGGAAACTAAATAAGAACTAATTAAAAATTCTTTCCCTTTCTAATCCCTATCTCCTCTCCTCTAGATTAAGCTCTTCCCACTCGATCTCTAACTATATTCGACGAAGTTCAAGTTCTACCCGTCGGTCTTATAAGGATAGTTACTAAGTACTTAGCGTTATTCTTCGTGATCGAGTTAAGCGCTACTAAATAAGGACTCTTAATAAAGAGACTAATATAATAGTCCGGGCCTTATTATCTATTAAGATATCCCCTTAAGAGTAAAGTCCTTACGAAAGTAAACGTGACCATAAATATATATTCTCCCTTTCCGAAGATATTTCCTCCGTTACTAGACGCCGAATACGTATTACCTCATCCTCGGCGCGTTAGTCCCTTTCTTTACGTTATCGACGTACTTTATAATTAGTAAGAGATAGTAATATAATACTTATACTTATAATCTCGTATTTAGCTCTATTAGTAGCGGCCTATAATCGATATATTTCGATATATCGAACGTATACTATACTTTCGGAAAGTAGTATCGAGCTCGATAATCTCGCGGTTATATATCCGGTTACTAACTAGCTTAGAACTAGTTCCGAAACGGTTTAAGAGCTTACGTTTATATATAATAGAGCAAGGCCACGCCCCTTATACCCTAGAGATATATAATATTATATATAATCTCTATAGAGTTAGTATCCTTCGCTATTTAGACCTAGTCTTCGAATAATATACTCGAGCAAGCTAGGTTTAATCCTGCACGAAGTATAGGATTCCTCTTATACTTAACCTAACTAGCTAGGCCAGGTTCTAATACTATATTAATTAGTTTAAGATTAATTAATAAAGGAGAATATATATTAGATCGAAATATAAATCTATAAGTTCTCTAGTTACGTAGATACTAATAATAAACTTATTAAGCACGTGGACTTTAAGTCTAGGCCTCTATCTCTACTAATACAATATCTCTCGATACCTCGTTAAAAGTAAATATAGCATAAGCGTACTAAATACTATACTTACTATAGCTATAGTCGTTCTTTAGGGTCGATAAGCTTTAGATACTACCCGAATGCTTTATAGTTATATATAGAACTAGTTTCGAACCGATTTAAGTTAAAACTTACTAATAATTGACGACTAGTCTTAGTCTATAGTTACCCTAAGCAAACCTATCCCGTGGATATGCTTTTATTAAAATAAAATATAATAACGGTCGTATATTATTTAAAATATAATCCGGAATATATTCTTAAAAGCTCTATAGTCTCTCTGATTTATAAATACCCGAGCTAAAGGGAGTACTAATATTTTTAGTAAGGTTTTACGTAAATCGAAGATTAATATTACTTACCTCGCCGCGTTTCCTCGCTATAGTATGTCTAGATTAATTCAATATCTTCGTCGCTAATAATATACTTATAATTTATATTAATTATAAAGCTTTTTAAGTTAAGTTTCTAGAAAAGCTGAGCTTATTATTAAAAGAAGCAAACGGTAATATAAAATTCACTATCGTTAGATATATATTAGATATACTAAAGATATCAGCGAGGAATTAAATTAGAACTAATTTA